CCAGTCTGTTTTAAGAAGCAGCCTTGGTTTGGTGGGGCAAGAGAGGTGCTAATGTGAGGCAAGAGTGCCTGGGGCTCCTCCAAAGTGGCGCAAGTTCTGGGGTGGACCTTGTACACTCAGGTTTAGGGCTGCCAGGTGGCCCAGAAGTTGTGGCCCCATCCATGGGTTTCTCTACTGAGACTGGCTGTGGCTCTGAAGAATCCAAGGCAAGTGCCAAGACTCGTGATACTAAGGTGTGTCCTGAAATGAATTGTTATGCCAACAAGTCCATTCTGCATGTTCTTCCCTGTAGAGCCACATGATAGTGCCTTGGGTCCGTTGAGACCGCTGATGAAATAATTATATAATATTATAATTATATAATATTGTTATATTATAACAATCATGGGGCAGCCATACAACTAAAAATATGTGATGTTTACAGTGTTCTTTATGATGTTAATAATGTTACATTAGTGAATCTTGACTTTTGGCTTTGAAAGCCCAAGAAAACGATAGCAACGAAAATTCCCAAGTAACCAACACAGTGGCTTCCAAAAGTTAGGCTGGCCTCAGTTCTGGCATTGGCATTGCCTATGTTTCCCGGAGCACATGCTCTTCCGTACCAAACCTTTTTCCTGTTGTTGCATCCTGGGCTGCTGGCTTTAAAAACGTCATCACATCCACTTTGTAGGGTTGCCTGGCCAATAAGGCCAAGCTCCCCTGGGCCTGCACGCCTGCCCCCTGTTCTCATAGCGTCTCACTATTCCGGTCATGCCTGCCCAGCAGACTGTATGGAAATGTGAGGGCCTTACTGATTGCTGCAGCTGTTTTGAATCATCTGTTTTAGGGAACTGGATAAAAATAGTATTGAAACTAATGGCTATTTTAAAAAAGTAAGTTATAGGTAAATAAATTATAATGTTCAGAATCAGAATCCCAGTTTTGCACAGATGGCCATTAACAGAACTGAACTCCCACTTTCTCTGTTAGTAAGTAAACAATTTATTTAGCCAGATCAAATTCTTTTTAAATGACAGAAATCTACTGAAAACGTCTTCATTTTGTAATACTGCTGACATAGGTAGTCCCCTGAGTCCTTCACCTTCCCGAATTCCCAGTGGTCCTTTCTCATCATCTTCCCCTCAGACTGCTCTAGAAAATGGCCAGGTACTTTTGGTGGACACTGCCTGGAGGGGTGCTGGTTCTGTGGAGGGGCATGGATCCCCACCCAGGATTTGTACCCTACTTTGGCAGCACAGAACCATTGCAAATTCCTCTTTGTGGATGGGGCTTGGCCTCAGCACCCCAGCTGAAGTCACAGGATATGGATGAGAGAGAGTCCTAAATAAACACTTGCCTGCCATCTTTATAAGCTGTGTCCTTCTGTCTTGACTGTATCAGTCTCTGTCCTCTCAGACTGTTGAAGTGGTGGGGCCAAGAAGAGGGCAAAGTAGGGGACAGCCCTAGAAGAGGCGGGAAGATGGATGGCAAATAGAATGACGTGCGATTTGGCTCTTGAAGGTAGAGCTGGTGCCAGGTTGAGTCTTGCCAGAATCAGAGGCACAGCAGTTGTGCCCATTATCTGAGAAGATCTTGACTTCTCGGGAGAGAAGACTCCTCCTTCTATACGTTGCACAGTGTTTCTCATGCTGGCTGGGGGCAGTTGTGAATTCTGACCAGTGAATCCATATGAGATCCTGTGATTCTATATGATTGTCTTGTTTGCTTTATTTTTTCCATGCATTCCACTGTCATCTACAGATCTGGCGGCAGGTTGGGGATGGTGCATCATGTGCTAATCCCTGGTCCCACCCCCTGCCTCCTCAGTTCACACCAATGGATTACACTGACAGTGTTCAAGATCAAGCAAGCAAGATGTATCACACCAAAACATTTGGTTCCATGCCGTGAGTAGTTTCATGTACCTGGTTGTTCGCGAAAGTCAGAAATCACAAAATCGAAGGTGCCTGGTATTTCCTGTGGTGACGAGTTTTAAACATTAACCGTAAGGCAGAGATCCTGAGTGCACAGAAAAGGGACTGGTAAATGTTTGGGCTTGGAATTAGTGCACCTTATTGTTGTCTTTCAATGATTTATATGTTGGGCACATGTTTTTAATTTAAAAAACAAGCCTCCTTCAAAAAAGAAATAAATACAACAACAACAACCCCTCCCCCCCCCCAAAAAAAAAAAACTAAAGCCACATTTACTTGAAATGAGCTCTTTCGTGATTACCGCAGACAGCATGCATGTCCCAGACCAGACCCAAGGACTGCTGCCAGGAAGAGGAATCTGTCTGCAGTCTGCTCTGGCTTATGAAACTTCGGGGCTTCATCTTGTGGTACTTGGAAAGAGTGCCCCTCTTGCTTTAGAAGCATGCTTCAGTGACGCTTGTATCACAGCTTTAGGCCTCTGCTGACAACCTGGAGCTCGCACAAGACTTTGAAGGTTTGGCCCAGGCACTGTTGAGAGGCAAGCATTCCCATCCTAAGTACAGGCCTAGCCTAAGGTTAACAGGGAGACTGATGTTTTGTTGCTTCATTTTCCTATTAAGCCCTGGGTTGCTGATTGAAGCAAAATTCCAAAGTTTTGACACACCACCACATTGTTAACACGATAGGGAGGATTTGATTATGGGAGAACAAGTCCAAAAACGGTAAATTGACAAAAAGAAAAAAAAAGTCTGGGGCCTTACTTCTCAAGGCAGCTTTTGTGGTTGCATTCCTTTATTTGATGTGGTTCCCTCCTTCTCCTTTGCCAAACGGTGCAATGTGGAAAAATGATGATGTTGCAAAAAAAAAAAAAAAAAAAAAAAAGGAAGGGGAGTAGGGAGTGCACTGTTTGGTAACAAAAAGAGAAAGAAAACAAATCGGAGCACGGGAATCAAAGAAGAAATTACCTGCTTTTCCAAGCAGGAAGAAAAAAGAAGAAAAAAGAAACACAGGAGTCCTCTCTCCGTCTGTGGGTGAAGACAGCCCGGCTGTCATTTGGCACCTCGCAGGTCAGTCCCTGAGAGAGCTCAGTGGTGACAGGGAGACCACAGGCTGCCGGGAGGTGAGAAGAGAGTGCTGGAGGAAGGCACGCTGAAGGCCATGGGTTACCAGGAGCGGGAGGTTTTAAGGAATGGGCTGGGGAAGAGAGAAGTGGAGCCAAAGCTGCCTTCCAGCCTCAGCTGATGTGACTGAACATGTCCCAACACCAGCCTGCCCCTTAGAGAAGCACCAACATTTCAATGAGGAAGCAGGTTGCCACGCAGGAGCTGCAGTTTATTTATTTACAGTTTTCAGGCTGGGCAGCTTTTCTGTTGTGTGGCTTCTTACTCTACCCAATGTGGCATTTTCTGAGTTTTAAAATTATCTCCTTTCGCACTGTGAAAAGAGCATATATGATTCATCTTAATATTTCGGAGGATCAGTCACTAACAGCCAGTATTTTGGGTGGGAGGAAGGCTTTTGTAGGCAGCTCCTTCACCTAACATAGAAGTAAAAAAGCCCCAGAATATGCCTGCAGCTTCGTTCACAGCCATATAAATAGCTGGCTCTTGCACAGTTACACTCCAGTATCATTGTGAGAACTCCCACGGGCCGCGAGCTGCCTTGGATTCACCTCACCACTGCCTGGAAAAGGCTGGTGCCTCTGGTTTATTTGCTGACAGAATAGGATTTTTCAGAGATTTGGCCAAAGGATCTCTTCTTCATTCTTGCTTAATAACCTAATCTAGGTCTCTCTTTTGCCTATTTGAATTGTCCCTAAAAAACTTATCCAAAATGTGCATAATGAGAAAACTACAGATGAATTTCAAAAATAATTTTTTGCATAAAAATCAACTATTAATTCAACTTTTTCCATGAACTTCTTGAAGTCTCCCAGATGTTTTCCCCTACTTTTTCAACATCTGTTGAACTGTCCAGTGGCTTTGTAATTCTCAATCAAGAGTCAACAAGCAAAGCCAGCTGATGAGCTAAGGAAGGATTGTTAAGCTTTTTAAAACATAAAAAGAATAATGTTCTATGACTTTTAAGAGTTGTATTGTAGGAGATGTGAGCTTCCATAAGGAAAACTGCGCTGGAACATAGCCGTGCTCATTAGTTCCCTTCCATATTGTCCGCAGCTACGGAATCAAGCAGGTGCAACAAAGGCCTAAGGCTGTAAAACCAACAGTGTCCACTGCCACTGCCCAGCCTTGATGTTATCTTCTACTATGACCATTTCAGAAGATATTTCTTGTCTTGTAATGTCTGTTTTTGAATATTTAGCCCCATATATTTCTTTAAATTCATTCAGTGTTAATACTACAGCTATTTAATGGATAACTAATTGTTAGCTTGGCATGTCCTTGTCTTGGGTAGAGAAGTGAACAAAATGGACAAAGATTCCCTCCCTTTCTAGGGGTGCTGTCATTCTAGTGAAGGCTGTGGGTGGTGAATACTAGTTTGACAGAACATGTTATGGAGGTGTGGGCCGTGGAAGTGTGGCAAAAGAAGAGATGGGGGCAGGTTATTTGAAGTAGGTGGTTCAGGAGCACATAGCATGTGAGAAAGGCCTGATGCAGGTGAGGGTGTGAGCCCCACACATGTCTGGGAAAAGAGCTTTAGACAGAGGAAATAGTAGGTGAATGGAGCCCATTCTTGTGATGGGAGCAGCCCTGGCATAGCTCTGGAGTCAGTAACCCAGATGAGAAGGATTGGAAGATTGGACATGGCTCATGGAAATGTGAGGAGTGACAGATGAGGCAAGGAGGACTGAAGGTTTGGGTCTGGAACCAAGAAATGGGACTGGATGGGATGTGTGCTGGAGTGGTAGGTTTTGCAGGCAGTTTGCTATTGTGAAGTGTGTTTTCCACATCCAAGTGGAAGTGCTAAGTGGGCAGTTGGCCATTGGGGTCCTGGATGCAGGAAGATTCTGAACTGGAGATCTAAATTTAGAAGTTCTCAGGAGAAATTTTAGGCAGTGAGACAGATTCAATCTCAAAACCCAGATGTTTCCTTATTTCCAGTATGCTGTCCTGCTGTGATCACACCAACTCTTTTTTGACCTTGTATTTTCTTTCCATGTCACCACACGCACTGCACTAAGATCTGCCATTGTTCTTCTTGCTTCCTGTCTGGGCGCTAGGTGGCCTGGGCACCATGAGGTCAGAGATGTGCTTTCCCCAGTAGAGCAGAACACCACTTAGCGTGGTTCTGGGTCAGTGGTCTGCTGACCACCCTGAGTTCCTGACCCTTGTCCACAGGTACCTCCCTAAATTATATCCAAGTCCCTCTTACTTCTAGCCCTCATCTGAAACTGACTGCTCCCTTGTCTACTGATTACTTGAAAGTAGCAACCATACTTCATTTTGTCTATATGTACAGTTAACAAAAATTTCCTTGATTCTGTTTTTTCTAAATGCCTTATTCCCATGCTTGACCTTATGAACATGTTTAGGGACCCGTGTTGTGATCTACCTGATAAAGCCAGCACTTGCAACGCCAGCATTCCATATTGGAGTGCTGGTGTACTCTGCTTCTGCACACCTTTTCTTCTGTCCTTATCCTCTGCTACCTCTTCCTTCTTCTTTTTTTTACATTACTTATTTTGAAAGTCAGAGTTAGAGAGGGAGCAACAGAGACAGGGAGGGGGATCTTTCATTTATTGGTTCACTCCGAATGGCCTCAACAGCCAGTTCTGGGCCAATTGAGAAGGCACCCAATGACTTGGGCTACCTTCCGCTGCTTTCCCTAGACCAATAGCAGGGAACTGGATTGAAAATGGAGCAGCCGGACTCAAACTGGTGGCCATATTAAATGTTGATGTTGCAGACAATGGCTTTACCTGTTAGGCCACAGTATCAGGTCAAACTGAACCTTCTTGCCAGCTTGACTAGGAAGGCAGCAGGTAACGGCTCAAATATTTAGACCCTTACCTCCATGAGAGAGAACAGACTGGAGCCTCCTGGCTTTTGGCTTCAACCTGACTCATTCCTGGTGATTGCAGTATTTTCTAAATAAGATCTCTTTGTATGTGTGTATGTATCACTGTGCCTTTCAAATAAAGTAAATCTCTTTATAAGAGTACGTCTATGTTTTCTTTGCTTCCTGTTGTGCATAATACCTTTCAGACAGTCACAGGCCTCCTACCTCAGGGATGGAAGCAGATTTACTGTCACCACACCCCTCTCCCCATTCGCAGCCCAATTGTGCAGCATCTGAGCCAGGTGGATAGTAGTACTCAGAATGTGCTTGACACCCACTTGCATCTAGTAGAGAATGGGTTAAAATGTCGCTTACCCGGGTCCAAATTCAGGCCCCCTGGAGCAAATTCATTTGCCACTTGCCAAGTTCCTCAGATTATTCTTAGGCAAATGTGGATGGATAAGATGGTAGTCCGGTTCCACAATTTCTACCTTAGGCAAGTCACCTACCTCAAGCCTGTTTTTCACTCTACAATGAGTATATTAGTACCTACTACATGATTTGTAAAGATGTTGAATTTAAAAAAAAAAAAAAAAAAGACAAGCAAGGAGCACTGGGGAACCAGTTTGTGAAATACTAGGTACCACTACCCTGCTGTCTTCACATTTGTGCACAAGCCAAACTCGAGCTTCCAGCAGTGTACTGCTTTGAGCACAGAATCCAGCTCTGTGTGTGTATATGTGTGTGTGTTTGCGCGCTTGCATGCTGCAGTGATCCAGTGCCATTCCTATACCTAAACTCAGAGTAGATCCCAGCTGTGGACACTTGGTACTCCTCTTCTCTGGCCTTGTAAGGCAGAAGGGTTCTCCTCTCCCCCTTCTCTGCATGTGCCTTCAACCATCATTCAAATTCACATGCAGTGGAAAGGAAGGCATGAGGAGCATGTTGGTAGATTTACTTTAGAGTAGTAATTGTATGCATTGACTTTCATTTTCAGTGAAAGCATTTTAAGACGTACTTCTTGATGAAGTAACCCAAACCTATAAGTGTACTCCAGAAAGTCTGTGGAAAATGGAATGAAAAGATAAGCTGGTTCTGATGTGAAAAAATTTTGACATACTTGCATAATTTCTCTCATAATAAATATTTTTCCATGAAGTTTTTGAGACCCTTTCTTAATAGCAGAACAGTGAAGCCATTTGTTGGAACATGAAAGTTAGACATTTCTAACAAGTAAACAGTCAGTGCACTCAAAAACAGTTTCATTTCTTTGAAACAAAAGAGCAGTGATGGAATCAACTGCAGAGAGTTCCACCTGGGATTGAGATGCAGCAGGAGGGCAGGGCTTTCCTTCCCCCTTATCCTGTAGGCATCCTGACAGACTGGGCATGTTCTCAGCAGTTCCCACCAAATCTTAGAACATCTGCTAAGTCTGCGGTTGTTTTAGGGAACTTAGAATACTTTCCACATACTACCAAAGCCCTGATGGTAGACATCTGTTAAGATCACTGCCTCTAGGATGCTGTTGTGAGACATTAACAACCTGAGGGAGGATATTCCTGAACACAGATTTGGCCGGTGGCTGCGTCAGTAGGCGTGTTCTGTTTGTTACTGCCATGCTCCCATCTTTATGTGTGCTTGCCAGCACTCCACCTCCTTTCTGCTGAAAAATATCCATCAAGTCCCCTGGCCCTCAGAGCTCTTCCCAACTTACAGGAGTTCCTTTTGGAACTGGCGTGATGCCTTCAGTGCAGGTTCCTGAATAAGTTCAGTGAGTTGACCTAGAAAGAGCCTCAAGGGCCTGCTCGGCCCAGGCATTGGCCTGGAACTGAATGTGGTGTCTGCAGGTAAGGATTGGAAGCCATGGACGTGATCCCCGAAGCCCCTGGAAAGGGCTGGATTTAGGTCAGAGAGACCTGGAGTTAGATGCCTGTTTGCCATTCCCGGTGTATAACCCTAGGGAGGTTATGCAGCATCTCTAACCTCAACTCTCTCCTCTGTAAGGGACCACCTGACTCATAAGTCGGAGTGAACAATAAATGATATATTGGCAAAGCACTTGTTGTGTAGTGTCTGCTACAGACTTAATGCTTAGTAAAGAGTTGCTGTTACTACTCTGCTTATAGAGAGTTCACTTGCAAACCAAAGCCCCATCTTACTACCTTTTTAAAACTCTTGTTGTTTGTGCTGTACCTAAGCAAGGGACAGCTGATCAAAAGTAACCATACAGTGTGTCTTCACACTTTAAAGATAGTTAATAATAGCCTTGTAAGTCATCTCATGTAATGTAACTTTAGACTTACCTCCGTAGAGGGACATTTTCTGAACATTTATTCACTGTTGCCGTTGTCTCAGGATATTTTCACTTTATATGTTCCCTCTGAAAATAGGAAACAAAGAATGAAATGCTACACTGGAAAGAAGACTCCTTATGCTGTGAGCTGAGCTGATGGGAAAACTGGGATAATCTGTCACCCATGTAGCACGGCCAGTCCTGTGCAGTGCCTCCGCTAGTCCACCCCCGTGTGGCCCATGGTTTCTTCCTCTGGGCACTTATCTCCTTCTCCCAGTGAACTCACCGAGATACCTCCCCCTCTTTGTGTGTGTGTGTGTGTGTTTTAAAGATTTTCCTTTTTCCAGTTGATCCCTGGTTTTGTTTAGCTAAATAGTTGAGACTCAAAATGACTCAAAATTGATCCAAAAAATGAGGTGAAAGCTAACAATGAGTTTAGAAAGTGGTTGATCAGAAAAAAAATCTAATTAGGAAAAAAAATAAAGCCATTTTGTATTTAATATTTATATTCCCTGAGTCTTAAAATCTGTGGTTTGTTTTTTTTTTTGTTTTGTTTTGCTTTGTTTTCCATTTTATTTGACAGGTCAATCCCCAAGTGCTCATAACAGCCAGGACTATATTAGATGAGTCCAAGAGCCCAAACGTCTGTCTACATCTCCCAGGGGTTTTGGTCTTAAATATTTGAGCCCTCATCTGCTGCCTCCTAGGAAGCTAGGCAGGAAGCATAGCTGAGCCTTGAACCAGGTATACCAATATGAGATGTGAGCATCCCACCCAGCATCTTAACTGCTGCCCCAAATGACTTCCCCTATACAGTTTTTTTTAAAGTTCATAATTTTAACTTGTTACACAATTGTATGTTAAAATAAGAAAATGTGAGAGGGACTGGTGTGTGTGCAGCCCATTAAGCCACCACCTGTGACTCTGGCATCCTGTATGAGTGCTGATAAGATCTGGCTTCTCCTCTTCCAGTCCAGCTCCCTGCTGATGCGTCAGGGAAAGCAGCAGAGGATAACCTAAGTTCTTGGGCCCCTGCACCCATGTGAGAGACCTGAAAGAAACTCCCTGTTCATGTCTTTGGCCTAGCCCAACCCTGGCTGTTGCAACCATGTGAGGAGTGAACCAATAGATGGAAGATCTCTTTCTTGGTCCCTCTTCATTTGTAACTCTTCCTTTCAAATAAATAAAAATAAGTCTTTAAAAAAAAATAAAAATGAGGTGTTAAGGGGTACATTTTATGGATAAAGGAATAAACATTTATCTTAGCAGTTAGCATCCCGTCTCATATCAGAGTACTTGGATTTAATTCCTGGTCTTAGCTCCTGACTCTAACTCCCTACCAATGCAGTTTTGGGAGGCAGTGGTGATGGCTCCAGTAGTTGATTTCCTACACATAAAACAGACCTAGGGTGTTTACCTAACTCCTGGCTCTGGCCCTGGATCAACCCATGTTCCATTACAGGTATTTGGAATATGAATTAGTGAATTGGAGAGTGTGTATGCTCTCTTTCTCTCTCTCTCATTTTCACTTTCTCTCAAATAAATGAGAAATAATAGTAAATTTCTAAAAATGTTAAGCTTTGAAGAAAACCTTCAGTCATCTATACTACTGTTTGAGTATGTATGTAGCAATTAGACTTGTAAAATTCCACATGATCTTTTTGTGAAGGAATTCCTATCAAAAAAGGACATGGGCTTTGGAACTAGAAAGACCTGGTTTCAGACAGTGTCTGCAACTTATTTGCTGGTCTATCTCAGACAGAACATTGAAACTCTTAAAACCTCCATTTTCTTATCCATAAATTAGACTGCTTAAACCAAATGGAAGAGTGGTTATGAGGTTCATGGAGGCTCTGTTGGGGTCTACAACAAAGGTGATTATTCAGCCAGTGAGCATGAATTGTTGGTTTCATTGTCTCCTGGGAGGCCACTAGGAAACATTTTCTGTTATCATGAAGTGTTCAGATTCTTAAGGTTCTTGACGTTCTTACACCTCAAAGGAACTTACTAAAGGTGCCCAAGTCACGTATTCAGGATGAAGACTTCAAGACCTTAAACAAGCATATGGTTAGTGTGTGCTGAATTGGATTGAAGCTGGCATCCTTCACTTAGGAATTCCTTTGCTTAGGGGTTAGAGGCAATTTATCTCCGTCTGCCATCCTGCACATTTCTTGGCTTCAACCTCCTGCATTCCTTCTAAATTGTAGTTTGGTGGAGATAGCTAGGTCAACTTCCTCTCTATTGGAACCCAATTCATGGACAAGAATAGGACTCTAAGGCTGACCCACATGTCTGTGACAGTGCCTTGTTATGACTCTGGAACAGCAACAACAACAACAAAACCCAAACTAGAAAAATTCTAAAACAGTGTCTCTCTTGGAGTGCTTGAGGCTGTTTTCATATTGGTATCATTCTAATTATTATGTGACTCTTTTAATGCTCAAGAAAGGACTGTCTTTCAGAGTAGCACGCTGTTGTCACTGCACTGGTAAGGAAATCGGGTTGCAGCCAAGGAGGGGAAACTTGACAGAAGCACTCATTGTGATTGAATCATGGGTCCTTTTGGTTTTCTCCATTGTTTCATTGTATTTTTCCCATTTTACTCAATTAGTAAGGTAAAAACCCCATGTGGTTGAAGGGTTATTTTTCCTTAATCAGTCAAAATTAAAACCCCATTGTCCCAAGTCAGACTTTCAGACAGGCTAACTCTGCATTTTTCCATGTCAAAATACTCAAAAACAATTCCCTTTTGCTGTCACACTGCAACCATGGAATAGTCTTCACTATTATAGATGCTCTGAATGTTTGCAGACAGAGCAGGGTTCACAGAGGGCTTTATCATCATCACTTGCATGGAAAGGGGCCATGTTAATACATTCCCATAGACAGATCTTAGATTTCACTTATATCTAAAGCCAATGAGATGATCCAACAAATACTTTTGGTCTATTTAATGGACTTCACTGTGGGAAATCTTTTTAAAACTTTTTCTGGCCTTATTCTGTTAACTTCCCTCCACAAATTTCACTTCAGTTTTCAGAATTATCAACTGATAGTTATTAGGCCACGAAGAAATAGATGTTATCTATTTCCTGTCAAAAAAGAACCCTTTTCACTCTTTTCTCCCCCAAGTTCACTCTGGGAGTCTGACTTTAACGTTCTGCTTTCACCTTATCACCCCTGTTCACCCACTCCTCACTGCACCACGCTAGCAATCAGACCAGGCAGTGCCGAGTGTCCCTTTCATCTCCTCGTCCCTCCTGCCCGCACCCCAGCTCAGCCCCTGAGGGGTGGTCAGTCCCTTCTTCCTCTCCAGCCAGCCCTATGTTCCTAGGGATGCCTGCGGGAACCCTGGAGTTTCCTCACAGGGTGAGCCTCCTGTTGTGTGTGCATGCTCAGCTCAATGGCTCTTGATTTGTCAATATTAAATAATTAGTGATCACAAGGCCTTTACCTCCATCTTCCACCCTCTAAAAATATAATAGCTCTTTTATTTCACAGCACTTGACTTTGTTTATTTAGCATGATCAGGGCAACAGTGAGCTTTAGCAAGCCTGTTAAATATTTACTCATGAGGCGGATATTTATGCATGAATCAGTGGCACTTATCAGTATGTGACACTGTATGTTAGGTTTTGCACTTTTACAACCCAAGAAACTGCAGTTAACCAAAGGATGAAATAAGCATCTTTTTAAAAATAAACTCTCAGTGCACACTATCCTTCTCAGCACCAGGGTGCCTCCTATACTGAGATGCGCTCTATGCAATCACTAAGTCTTAGAGAATGAGACATGACAGGGTGGTCAGGGCATCCCAACTGAGGTCAGGTGTATCTGATTGTTTGATGGAGTCTTACCGTTGTGTGAAAGACTACAAAGGAAAGTGAGCTGTGCATTGCAGAGTCTATGAAATGGTGGTCCTTGTGTCTCCAGCAGCCTTCACCCTTGTCAGGATCCTGACCAGCTGGGAGGGAGCACCGCTGCTGTTCCTTCCCATCCCCATCACTCTGTTCTTAGGGAGGCAACAAATCTCATTAGAAGCAGAGTGGATGCTGGGGTACAGGCAAACCTGTGTTGGTCGGATGGCCTCACCCCTGTTTGGTTATGTAAATCAGAGGCACCTTCTGCTTCAATTTTGCCTGTAAAATTCCAGTGACCATTCTGGCCTCACCTACTCATGGGGAGAGTCAAATTAGATGCTGTGGTAAGGTACCTAACTATATGTGTTCATTCTTGACGATCACAGAGGTGGGATGCAGAAACGTGGGCCTGACAGTAGAACACTGGTCTTTGCATTTCTTCACCACTCAGCTTCTTCCCAGCATTACAGGTGACTTTTATTTAATGATCATATTTTAGAATGATGCAGTTCAAGCTGTGAAAGAGGAAAATTTTTTAAAAGTTTTGGTTTAGTCTGTGGATAATTCCACAAACTAATTCCCTTGCTTGATGCATTTTAATGAATAAGAACTTATTCTGTATTTTTTATACAAGTCCAAGTCCGTTATAATTAAGCCCAAAGATCTGCCCAAATTATTTTCTTTCTTGTAATTTCATTAGGCCAAGTTTCTGTGAGAACACTGTTAATAACCTGGGTCTTGGCATCCCCCCTGCCACACAGATCTTAACCAATAACTACATGATGTAAATATTGGAATCTTTTTCCTAATCACTTTTCCATCTTAAGGGAATCATTAGAACCTTCCAGTGACATGTGTGGTTTCAAAAGGGACAAAAGTCCTCCCTTCAAGTCATAGGAATTTTCCTAGCTCCTTCAGAGTTTAGACTAAATTTAATCCAGTGTCTGCCCTGTGCAGCCAGTGTTCTATGTAGCTGCAGAGTGCAACTGATTCAGTGGTGTCGAACTTAGTTGAATGCTGTCTTAGTTTTTTTCTTGGTTGTCAGAGGAGTTGTGCTTTTAGGGATCATCTAAGTAGAAAAAGACCAGTGTCAGAAATTTCCACTTCAGATTGACTCTTTTGCTTGTTGAGATTCTTCATTCCCATAAAAACAACAAAAAATTATGAAAAATTCAACTTCATAAATCTAGTATGGGTCTGGAATTCTTTCAGTAGTTAGATGTGCATTCTGTGTATCGTAAACTATTACACTGGGTCAACCTGCCCTAAACTTTTCAGGAATGATTTTCTGGGAAATGATTGCAACATCCTCTTCTTTTTACAACCTTGTAAGTGTGGAAACTTGGGTAATGAATAATCACAGGATTAAGGGATTTTAAAGATTTTTTTAAATTACAGAAAGGATTTAAGAGCTAATAGAAATATATATTAAAATAAAATAATCAAAGCAAACTACAAGAAAAGTCAAAGAAAACAAGATGTAATCAACACCAGAGGCGATAAGCTAAATACGTGACATGAAATTTCAAGCAATTTCTTGTAGTAATTATTTACTGGTTAATTTAAACTAAAAAAGGAATTCCCTTGGGGAAGTTCTAGAGCCTTGTTTCAAAATCAGTATTTTAGCTTAGTGTTTGAATCAGTAATATTGACTATCCCTTGCGTCTTATACCTATTAGCACTCAAGGTAACAGCTGATTGGCTGCAGAACTAGCCTCTTCAGTACACTGTTACAATGCCAGGTCAGTTTATTTTGGTTTGGCTCAACTGTTTACTGAATGACTCATCTATGCTGAATTGACCATACTGAAGAGCATTACAGTGTGTTTCAATAACATACGTAGCATGTTAATATCAGTAAAACATATACCTGTGCCAATCAAAGCTTGGTGATTTGTACCATTGTGTGATAAATGTCCTTGATTATCACTAATGATGGTTAATGGGAGCATACTAGCCTAAAACAAGAAATCAAGATAATTTACTCATAAAGGAAATTCCTATTATCATAATCCATGGCAGCTGGTGGCTAGATTTTGATGAGAGAAGCCGCATCTGCCTGGGGTGTGAGTTGCTTGAGCCCTAAAAGAATTGTCCATTGTGCTCTTGTCCTTTCAGTGCCCTTGGAGGCTCCTCTGCTCTTCACATCCCAGCTTTTCCAGGAGGAGGCTGTCTGATTGATTATGTTCCTCAAGTGTGCCACCTGCTCACCAACAAGGTAAAAGCAAGTCCTCTGACTGCTGCATCTCTGAGACTGCTTCTTCCGGGGCCCCTGAGCCCAGTTCACTGTACATGGACCGTCTTCCTACTCATGTCATCTTCCTGTTTCAACCTCCATCTGACATCTGCTAAAGTCCATCTGTTGGCCACCTTATTTGTCCTCCTTCTTTACTTCTTCCTTTTTAAGGATTCTGACTTCCTATTCCAGTCTTACCTCCCCCTCTTGTACCTGGAAGTTTAGTCACCCCTCTTCCAAATTTTCTTTATCCCTAAGTCTTTGCTAGGTCTTGTACCTTCCTAGGGTTTTTCATTTTGGAGCCCGTGTATTTCCCCCTCATGTGATGCATACATGTAGCCACACCTGTTTACCGTTGGTGCATATCAGGATAACTCATTAAAACTGTCTTTATTTCTTTCTGCTTTGCAGTACCTCACTTTTTAAGTCACTTCCTGATATCTTTATATAATTTCTAGGAGTAGATTCCTGACTCCATGGGGACAAAATTCAGGTCAGTTGTTCTACCCAGGCACAGAGATTCTCTGTAGCTTTCTTTTAGCTTCATTGATCAACAATTACATTGGCAAGTCGCTGGGTTTATTGTAATAGTTGTCCTCAGATGTTTCTGACAAGTGGTAAAAATATACTTGTTAATATCCAGCCATGGTATTCAGCTGAAACCTAAAGGTATTGAAGCAACACTGGTTCTCTTTATCCTCCCACATGCACTGTGACTTAATTTGTTTAGTTGTTACAGCACGATGTCTCTTGCTCTTGCTGACTTATTCACATTGGCTTGGAAACTAGAGCTTTTGTTTGTCTCTCTCAGTCAAAATATAGCTAATCCCCATACAAAAAGTATCTTAGAAGTACAATAATATTTTAGAGGCTTCAGTCTGATTTCCCAAATAGAAACTCAAGTCTGGCAATTCGGCAGGCTCCAGACCCAGCCCAGGTTCCAGGGCTCCAAACTTTAATGGGCTTTTCGCTAGACCAAGCCTTTCCTTCCTCCCCCTCCCCCCACCCCCCAAAAAACCTAGTTGCATGGCAGAATTTTTGTTTTCAGTCCAAGGTCTTGCACTGCCCTAAAATCTGTGCCCAAAAACCATAAAGAAAAATGAAAACGTGCTCTTCCAGAAGTGAGAAGAAAAGTCTTTTAAAGCTCTCCTATTGAGATTAATTTCTAGTCCTACATTTTCCTCAAGAAAAGAAAAATTTTTTATAATGTTTTCCCAGAAATACAAGAACCATTCCATTTTTTCTTATTTGGTTCCCTTTCATTAATTTTACTTGTCTTTAAAAATTGATGTTCTTCTGTTTGCTACAAACGAGGACAGTGCAGGCTGCATTTAGAAACGCTCTCTTCAAATGAATTTCCATAATTACATTGGAATCTATCTTTATAGCCAGTTTTGTTGTGGGTTTCTGTTAAAATGGTTTTCTGTTTTTAAAATCAAGTATACAGAACTGTTTTAAATAAAGCCACTTAAGCAAACTTATCATCTGTTTTCTTTTTTGAAAATAACATTTCTGATCCTACATTAAGCCTGCAAAATAAGAACTGTTTTTATAAATTGACATAACCCCCCATTACATAATAGAATTGTTTCATTTTTAAAGGGTACAGCATGGCTATCACTACCAATTGTGTCAAGGTTATTCCAAGTACTTTATCTTGAGCTTTTGTTAGCCATGGAAACTCAGTGTGGCTACAGCCAAAATAAACAGTTGGGATGGGAGGGGGGTGCCTCTCTTTCCCATTGTTTCTTTCATCCATTACAAACACATTATAAGAAAAGTGTTTGCATGTTTAAAACTGATGAATAAATGACTAACTTCCATATGCCTAACTTAATGAGTTCAGAGGTTTTTTTTTAAATAGAAACTGTCATTTGATAATAACAAGGAAATATAAAAAGTAAAACTAGAAATCTCCTATTGTAACACTCTTTATTCTAAATGTTAGGATTTCAAAAAGAAAGAATTAAGCATTATTCTCTTTTCAATAGGAGTTCAAGGTAACCAGAAAATTTTATTTGATGTGAAAAAGCTGTTCTTTACAGAATGGCATCTGATACTTGCAAAGAAATTATAGGATTTGAAAATCACTCTTTCGTATATCCTAATGAAATATTTGGTTCAGATAAGACTTTCCCAGTAGATACTCAAACCATAAGTTGATGAAGAACTGTATTTTTTTTAGACCTTGAGGAAGATTCCTGTTGATTACTCACCATGGTATATATTTGTATATGTGTGTGTAGGTATGCATAGATGGTAGATGGATGGACACATAGATAGATGTTGTTTTTACTCATATGGCAAAGAGAGCCTTCCATTGATATTGGGGTGATACGCTGTCATCACCTTAACCAAGTGATCATGCCCAGGGCTACCTATGAAATTTCTTTGCCAAAAACATTTAACCTGAGATTGGTCATGAATTTGGCTTTAACTTCCAATTTTTAGGAAATACACAGGGCAGAGGAAAGAGGAGGGAAACAGAGAATTGGATTATGATACAGGGCAGCTAACCCCATCTCCTTGAAAAATTCATGCCGTATATGCATGTGCAGGCAGGTACACACTTATACACATATGCACACTTAGTGAGATGCTGTAATTCTATATTTAAAAAAAACAGACAGCTGGCACATTGGCCTAGTGGCTGAAGTCCTTGCCTTGTGTCTACCGGGATCCCATATGTGTGCTGTTACTAATCCTGGCTGCTCCACGTCCTTGTGGCCTGGAAGTACAGTCGAGGATGGCCCAAAACCTTGGGACACTGCACTTGTGTGAGAGACCTGGAAGAGGATCCTGGCCCCTGACTTTGGATTGGATCTGCCCCGGCTATTGTGACCATTTGGGGAGTGAACCAGCGGGCAGAAGATTTTTCTTTCTGTAGATCTGACTTCCCAATTAAAATAAATCTTTTTAAAAATTTGAGCCCAGTGGCGTGGCATAGTGGCTAAAGTCCTCGTCTTGAACACACACATATGGGCGCTGGTTCTAATCCCAGCTGCTCCACTTCCCATCCAGCTCCCTACTTGTGGCCTGGGAAAGCAGTTGAGGATGGCCCAACGCCTTGGGATCCTGCACCTGCCTGGGAGACCTGGAGGAGGTTCCTTGCTCCTGGCTTTGGATCAGCACAGCACTGGCCATTGTGGTCACTTGAGGAGTGAATCATCAAATAGAAGATCTGTCTCTCCTCCTCCTTGTATATCTGACTTTGCCATAAAAATAAATAAATCTTTTTTAAAAAGTAATTAAATATCATTTTGTTATATACTGATTTAAAAAAAGTTTTTCTGGAGACAGTTGAAAAATTGAAAGTGGATGAGGTATCAGATGAATTCAGAGAATAATTGTTAAGTTTGTTGGGTATGATAATGCTATTGTGGTTATATCAAAGAATATCTTATTTTTTTGGAGATACTTGCTGAAGTATTTAGGGGCAAACTGTCATGATGTGTCTAATTTCCTTTGAAATGTTTCAGGAAGATTGATTGATATGTAGGTAGATAGGTGGCTTAATGAAGCAGCTAGGCAAAATATTCTCAGTTGTTGAATATAGATGGTGGAAATGTTAGTGTTCATTTTACTATGTCTACCTCTCTGAATCTGGGGAATTATTCATAATAAAGCGTTTAATGGTGTCCTGCATCACTGCTCAGCTTTGGGTTCCTATTCCAGGTGCAGTATGTGATTCAAGGCTATCACAAAAGGAGAGAGTACATCGCTGCGTTCCTCAGTCACTTTGGCACGTAAGTTCTGCTCTATGAAGCTCCAGTGCCCTCACTTGCTGCTGACTCTCACATGGACACTTGGTTAGGACAGTAGCTTTGGTGTCATTTTCATGTGCTGCTGTCATCAAAGCTCCTGGGAAGACATTTTCATAGCATTCTCCATCCAAAAGTGGAATTCAGTACTTTCCTGGGGCAGCAGCGTGGCAAACCCCAAGTGCCCCAGTGACAGTGGTAGCAGTGCCCGTGGCTGCAAAGCAGTGAGCAGTTTGTGCAGCCCTTTCTTCTCCATCACCTCACAGTAGTCAGGAGGTGAGCTGGGAAGGCTCTGTTGAAACATTTTGTTGAAGGCAGCCCTGAAACTGGTTAAGTCCAGTAGCCTGATGGAAGTCACATGTGTAGAAGAAGTGGCACCAGGTCAAGGACCTCAGTTGTTCAGGCCTCAGGTACCACCCCGGATTTGGGAAAGGGATGGTACAGGAGCAGTGGCAGTGAGAGGAGAGAGAACTTGTGACTGCAGGTGGAGTGATTTCTCCTGCTGCTGCTGTCCTGGATGATAGTCTTCTGGTGGGCTGTGGGTATGCATCCCTGTTCCTTAAATGCTGTCGGAGACCTCAACAGGCTTAAATCAGCAGGACACGCCATGCATTTTCCTGTGGTCTCCAGCAGTCTCGTCATTCTCACTATGTGGCGCAAAGCCACGAGAGTTTTAATGATCTGGTTTTAATTACCTTATTCCAGAGGAGGTTATAAATAATGCAAAAATGTGTACAGAAACACAAAAGGAAAGTTGTAAAGCAGCCAGTGAAGACCTTAGGACAGAAGGAAACCGAGAGCAAGAAAAAAAAAGATAACAAAAAATAAAGCTCACCATGCCCTGAGATGTCATTTTTAAACTGGTAGTTTAAAAATGTCATAGTTGCAACAAAATTTCTGATTCCTCAAAACAGTGTCAATAATTGTTCTCATTATCCATAAAAAATTCTTTATATTCCAGAAGTGTCAGTATCAAAGTGTATAACCATCTTTCCTCTGAGTCCTTAATACCTAAGATTTTCTCAATTTTATTTATAAAAGTTTGACCAAGCACTTTTGATACAAACAGTGGTTGATAAATGATTCCACTGATCTTCTAATTTTTAGTAATATTGTTTTTAATATCTATAACTGAAAATGAAGAAACTTATGCAGTGACCTCCATACACACCCTTAGGGTTTCTCTTGCCCTCTCCACTGAGGGTCAAAGGAATGTGAAAATTGCATTTGCATTTGCGTTTGTGTTTCAAAATAATTCTTTTTAAATGTATATTTTGGGTGTCTTTTTAGCATGTAGGGCCATAATATACGTAATAGAGGTTCTATAGAATCACTGTCAAACTATAAATGTGTTACTATATTTACCACTTGCTGAATTCATGCTAAAAGGTACTGTATGCCTATTTTTGTCTGTGGGCTATAGATCTAAAAAGTTTAGACGTCCATGTTACAATATTGGAGTGATTATAGATTCACAGGTGGAAGGAAATAGAAATTGTAGAATTGACCTAACCAACAGTTCTAGGTGATAATACCAACCATCTTGGAACAGATCACCCAGGCTTTGGTGTCTTTGCTTCTTTGCCTTTGTAAGCGGTGTAGTTAGTTGTCTCTTGCTTAAACTTAGAGATCATGAGTGTTGATGGCCTGACTGGCCTAATTCAGTCAAGGAAAGGGCAGCACTAAGAACATCAAAGGCCTCCTGTACAGAAGGAAAAAATCAGTTCTGCCCTTGCCATGTGGTTAATGCTGTACTTGGCTCTTGAGGGACATGAATGAAGTGAGCCTGCCACAATTCTGCCCAGTCATTTCACAAGAGAGGTGCTTCTCCCATCTGTACTCAACACCCACCCATCTAACCTTCTGCCTTTTCTTGAGTGTGGGGGAAAGGCTCAAAACAAAAGGATTCTACATACACTTTGGGAGAAAACTAACATATAATCCCAAATTTAGTAATTTTGCCATTGCTCATAACTGTTTGATACCCAATGAAAATGACATTTAGCAATCCCTGAAAAGATAAAATGACATTTAACACTATTGTGCAGGCCTGATTGCTGAATTTGTCCTTTTATTCATAGCTAGTAACTAACAGATGTTCTCGTTTAGTGGTTTATCTTATTTGCTTCACAGTTCTGTAGTTAAGTTTGCAGATGCTATTGACCTGATTGACAGATGAGGAAACTGAACTCCAAAGGCCGAGTGATTTGCCTAAGATCATAACAGATGTAAATGGCAATGCCGTGGCTTCAATCTAGGTGTTCTCAGTCCAAAGCCCACACCTCCCGTGGTCTTGCTTCCTTGTTGTAATTCCATCTAAGCCTCAATAACTCTGATTTCATGAATATATTCTTTTCTTGGTCGTGTCCCTTTTCTGCCTTATTTTTTAATGAGGGCTTTCTGTTTTTCCATGTTTTTGTTACTTAGCGGTGTTGTGGAATATGATGCAGAAGGCTTTACAAAACTCACTCTCCTGCTGATGTGGAAAGATTTCTGCTTCCTTGTACACAGTGAGTATACTTTTGTTGTCAGCATGCACTTAAAACATTCTAAACATGTCATAATCAGCCTGAGACATTCTGGGTTCGTGTATTTATTTATGAAGAAAATGTCTCTAGACCAGGTGACTCAACCACTAGAATGATTTTGCTCCTTAGGTGGCATTTGACACCGTCTTGAAACATCTTTTACTGCCTTGATGGGGAGGGGGTGCTTGCTACTGGCATCTAGTGGGTAGAGGTCAGCAATGCAGCTGAACCTCCTGCGGTGCACAGGAGTGAGACCTTCAACACAAGAAATCCTGGATTCCAAACACCAGTATTGCCAGGCTGGAGAACCCCCGTTGCAGACAGATTTCTGCCTAAAAACTCTTATCAGTATCAAGTCTCAAAATTTTCAGGATCACTCAAAACATACTTGGCTTTGATCATTTAGTTATTACCTTGCATTGAGTAAAAAGTGTACAATTTTGCTGGTATGTAATATGGCAGTTCTTCAAAAAGTCTGTAGGAAATGCATATTATCAAAGAATTGCTGCATAAAAGTTCAAACTTTTTGCACCCAAATAAGCTTATCTTTTAATTCCACTTTCCCACAAACTTCTTGAAGTATCCTTTTGTATAACTTCAAAGAAAAGCAATAGTTTAGCATATCCCCCACATCACTCACTATTGTCCACATGGCAGACATATTTGAATGACTATTGGATTATGATAGTACACGTTGGTCCAGATTTCTCTTGATGGATAATTTTGAGGCACTTTTGTTTATTCCCTTGTTACATAAGTATCAGTGACCCATGATGACAGGTTCAAATGGCAAGTCAACCCAGACCTTTATTCTGTTTTTCTTTGTTTTTAAGGTTTATTAATTTATTTGTTTGAAAGAGAGAGTTATAGAGAGAGAAGAAGGGAAAGGGAGAGATCTTTCATCCATTGGTTCACTCTTCAGATGGCCACAATGGCCAGGTTAGGCCAAGCTGAAGCCCGAAGCCAGGAACTTCCTCCAGATCTCCCACAAGGGCCTCCATTTTCCACTGCTTTCCAGGGCACTTTAGCAGAGAACTGGATCAGAAGTGGCACAACCAGGGCTCTAACAGTGCCCATATGGGATTCCAGTATCACAGGTGGCAGTTTAACCAGATATACTGCAACAGTAACCCAAAGCTTTCATTTATAAGTAGGTTAGTATGTACCGTGTCGGCTTCTTAAGCCAAAGGCAAAGACAGTTTTCCTACATCAAATTACAGAAAAGCAGTGGATTTGAGTTAGTCTCACTCAGTGTATATAGAATTGTTCTGGAGAAAAACTGATCAAGGCTTTAGCCACTATAGACTCGGGGGTTTTTCTTCTGGGTTGTGATTTGCTTAGGTTAATAAAATAGTTCTGCCTCCACCTTCTTGCTAGTTCCCATATCAGAATGCCAGTTTAAGTCCAGGCTGCTTTACTTTGAATCCAGCTTCCTGTTAATGTGTCTGGGAAGGCTGGCCCAAGTATGTCACTCATACGAAAGAGACCACAGTGGAGTCTGTGGCTCCTAGAACTAGCCTGGCATATACCCAGCTATTATAGCCATTTGGGAAGTAAACCAATGGTTGGAAGATAGTTTTCCGCCCCCCCCCCCCACTTTCTCTCTTTTTCTTTCTCAGGGACTCTCCCCCTTCCTCCATCCTTCCTGTTTCTCTTTCTCACCCTTCCTCCCTTCCTCTCTTTCTTCCTTCTTCCATCTCTTTCCTTCTATGTCCTTTAATTAAATAACATTTGTAAGATAGTTTTATTTTTAATCAGTACATGATTGTACATATTTATGAAGTATGGTGTGACAAATACATACACAGTGTGTAATGATGAGATAAAATATTTTTAAGTTCAACTGAGAGTTAGTTGATCTTTTATGTGTTGCCCAGACAGCTCCATTTTGTTGCATACTACTTTGTATTGAGTTCAATAATTTGTCATACATTAGGGCCTTGTTTTCTAATGCATTTGGAGATTACAAGCATATCACTTTGTGTTGATTGTGTGCACAGATAAGCAGAGTTGGAGAAGTAAAGGTTTGAATCTTGTGTGTGCCTCTCACTGCACCTTGTTCAACCACTAGGACGAGCCATCCTCTCTGTTGTAGTTCGCTCCTTGTATCTTAATATCACTGCCCACACTCTGGTCCTTCTGACAGAAAAGACTTGGGTATGAATCAGGGGACATTGGTGCTGTTTCCTGCTGGATCACTAACCCAGCCTGCCTTCCATACATTGTTTCCACCCATTTTCTTCCTTCTTCTCTGAAACATAGAACTTGCTACATCCCAGGGAAGATTGGTTAGATAACTTGTTTTCCTCAGTCATGCAGTACAGCCTCTGACACTTACCTTCCCTTCGTAGCATCTGCTTGCTTCATTATAATGCCCAAGGGACCATTTGTTCTCTCTTCTCTTTCCATGGAGATGAGGAGGTGAATATGGCACGGCAGAGATGCAATAGAGAACATTGCCAGGAATGACTGTGCAATCTCAGAGGTAAAAAAGAACTTGGAACCAGAGGCAGATTTCTGTGGACTGCTCCACCTCTTCGGGGCAGTTGAAGATGCAGCAGGAGAGGAGACAGCACCTGTGCTGGGCCCTGCCTCTCTGCTCTGAGGCCCAGGAAGACAGCTGGCAGCAGGACCACTGCTGGCAGTCCTTCTGAGACTTTAGGATGCCAGAGGAAAGAGGCACCCTTCTCTTGAGCAAATGGTTCTGACTTCAGATTTGGCCAGAATGTGTGGAGGCCAGTGTGCCCAGGAGAAATGATGTACAGGCTGTGGGACCTGTTGAGACCTACAGCATCCTGGCATTCTGTCAGCTCACGAGGTTTGTGACCACGATTACTCCTGTGGAGATGCCTGTCCACCACCACCCTCTCCCTGCCTCCTCCATCCACGCGCAGCATAACTCAGGACTTGGCCATCATCTAAGAATCGTCATAGCGATTGACTAGGTAGTTTCATAGTTACGAACTTGTTCTTTGCACTGGTGATCGACACTGTCTTTAAGCCAGCCTTTTCAGAAGCTGGATGGCAGGAGGCCCAGACAGCAAGGTAAAATCACAGTAAGCAGAAGTGGGCACTGGTGCCTCTGCTGTGCTTCCGGAGCTCCAGTTAGCTGCACCTTGAGCAGACAGGGGAGGAGGCAGCTGCCTCAGGTAACAGAGCTGCTACTCAAGAGGGGAGACTATTGGGATCGGTGACTGTAAGTAGTTGAAGGGACCTGTGACTGTATGGCAAACTGTCTTTTCACTACAGGGAATCCTTGGAAAGTGACCTTTGAGTCATCCAGCCTGGACTGCAGACAGTTTATCTTATTACAATGCCTGTTCGAGCCAACCTGAACACTTTTTCTCTTCTGTGTTCTATCCCCCATCCGTTTGAGTTGAGGGTACTGAGAACCTACTGTATGCTCAGTACTGTGCAAGGTATTAGAAGATGAAAGTACTTTGGCCTTGACCTTGAGACAGTTTGGGAGGTACAGCACAAGGAACTGGAAAAGCACAGCTAGGGGGCCAGACCCACTGCCAGCCTGTCTTTGTATGGCTCTCTTTTTTTTTTTTAAGATTTATTTTATTTTTATTGGGAAGTCAGATATACAGAGAGGAGGAGAGACATAGAGGAAGATCTTCCGTCCATTGATTTACTCCTCAAGTGGCTGCAACAGCCGGAGCTGAGCCAGTCCAAAGCCAGGAGCCAGGAACTTCCTCTAGGTCTCCCACACGGGTGCAGGGTCTTGAGGCTTTGGGCCGTCCTCAACTACCTTCCCAGGCCACAAGCAGGGAGCTGGATGGGAAGAGGGTCACTAGGATTAGAAGTGGTACCCATATGGGATCCCCTGCAAAGCAAGGAATTTAGCTGCTAGGCTACTGCACTGGACCCATTTGTGTGGCTGTTAAGCTAGGAATAGTTTCTACGTTTTTAAACTTGTTGAAAAACAAACTAAAAAGAGTGGAATCTACAGCAGAGCTGGTGTGTGTCTTCTAAAGTCTACAGTCTTTACTACTTGACCCCTTGGGAAATGACGTGTGACAGCCTCTAGTGACAAAAGAGATCAGATACAGGTGGAGGACAGTGCTGAGCAGGCTTAAAAGCAAATGTTTTATGAGTTGTCTGCTATAGTGAAGGCACAAAATGATGTATGAAGAAGGGACATTCTCCTGTGTTACATATGCAAGGTGGGGCGGATGATAGAGAAGTCAGAAAACACATGAGGGGCCAGAGGGCTGTGAGAGCAGCTGCAGGGCTGCTGTGAGGGCAGTTACAGAGGACCTCTCCCAGGACGCGACACTTCAGCTGAAACCTTACAGCAGCCTCAGTGAGCCAGGGAAGGAGAGGCAGCAGAAGGCTTTGCTCGAGTGAGTGTGGCTGGGGCTCAGTGAACGGGGGGGAGGTTTGGCCTTTGTGGATTCTCTTTTTCTCTTTCTTTCTTTCTTTCTTTCTTTCTTTCTTTCTTTCTTTCTTTCTTTCTTTCTTTCTTTCTTTCTTTCTTTCTTTCTTCCTTCCTTCCTTCCTTCCTTCCTTCCTTCCTTCCTTCCTTCCTTCCTTCCTTTCTTTTTTCTCTCTTCCTTTTTCTTAGCTACGTATTTTAAGTTCTTTTCTTAGGGATTTGTTCTGGAGATTGCAGTATGCGTCTTTAGCTTAACACACTCTACTTCAAGTTAATAGTGATTTCATTCTGGTAAAACAATAACAGCTTTGTAAAATGTAACATCATGGGCCCATCCCATTAGCCTAGTGGCTAGTCCTTGCCTTGGATCCCATATGGGCATCAGTTTGTATTCCAGCTGCTCCACTTCACATCTATCTCCTGGCTTGTGGCCTGAGAAAGCAGTCAAGGATGGCCCAAAGCCTTGGGACCCTGCACCCATGTTGGAGACCTGGAAGAAGCTCCTGGCTCCTGGCTTCACAATGGCGCAGCTCTGACCATTGTAGCCACTTGGAGGGAGTGAACCAGCAGATGGAAGATCTTTCTGTCTCTCCTCTCTGTA